GTTGTGGTTTGTACAAGGTTGACGCCTAAACAATAAAAATAAGGCGTACTTCTTAACAATATCAAAAGATGATATTTTAATTGTAAATTTTTTTGTGATTATGAAAGAATTTATTTTTATTTTTAATTATAAAATTTAAAGCTTAAAAAATAGTGTAGATCTAAATACTTAAAAACATTGAAAATTGACAGCTCAGATAAGGCATGGCAAGATGCACTACTCCTAGACTCAAAGTCCTTTTGTTTCACGTCTATATATCTAGAGGTCGAAATGATCGATTTGAGGGTTTTTCGATATCGAAACAACTTCTTTTAATAAATTTTTGAGTTGAGCCTTAATTTAATTGTCTAAGTCCTCAACCTTATATAAAAAATTTTCTTAAATGATTTTTACCAAAATAAAAAATAATTCCAATTTATGGCATTATTTTCAATTCTTCCTACTTTTTATATTGTAAAATTATTTATCAATAAAAACCATAGATACTTTAAACGTATGCATTAAATATGCCACTTGATCGGTGAACATGACAAGTCTATCCACCACCACAATAAATATATACAATGGACAAAAGAGAAATCAGGAAGAGACCGGAAAATTGTAAAGAATCTATGCTTCGTCTAAACAGACATACCAATAAAATAAATGCATCAAGTAAACTTCACGAAAGAGAAACCCGAAAAGACGTATAAGCTTCCAATTGGCGCTATTCAATTTAACGGACTGTGAGGGTAGGTGTCAAATCCCGAATTATACAAATAAATAAAGGGATTATATACAAACGAGACCATTTATTTTTGTTATAAAGATGTCACAGTTGTTACTAATCATTAGATGTCAAAAGAGATAGCTTGGGGTGTGTCACCCGATTTGAAATCTGACAGACACGAGTAACTGTGAACTCCTTATGTCAAAAATAAATACTTTTTCATAAATAAAAGTCCCACTATATCATAGAATTTCTATTTCAACTGGGTCCAAAAAGTTATTTTTAAGATTACCAACTCCCTCATTTTTTAGTCATAGCTACTATGTTTTAGTCATAGCTACTGGGAAATGGAGTGAGAACGGAACGGCTCCAGGATTGGGAATCGGATCATCAAATCAACATGGGCCAAAAGTTTCGGTAGTTTGAAATTGAGATCCGTACAATGAATCTAGCCCGGAGTTGAACCCTATATATAAAGGATCTTGGTCCAAATTATCATGGGATCTGGATCCCATTTTACAAGGGCCACATTTCCCACTTCTCATGGGATCACGATCTCAAGTACCCAAGGGCCGCAATCCATAAATATAAAATATCACAGTCTCAACGCTCACAAAAACTAGATCCCATTGTGCAATAGATGAGGTTACCTCTTCTCATTGTGTTAATATACTTTAATTAATTTAATTCTTGATAGGGTTTATACATTTTTCAACTCTAGTTTAGTACTCTATAGTCCACAATCTATATATAGCAATCTAAATATTTTAATTCTTGATGTTTGGGATCACAATATGATATGCATGGAGATCCACAAATATAGGGATAGACATGGAGATCTCAACATGATAGGAATTAATATCCTCTATTCTATAAGAATAAGGGATACAGATTTCTAGGAAAATGATCGAGCTCCCTAAAAAAAAGAAAGTTGCAATCGAGATCTTTGCTTTGGAGCACTGGGATCTGGATATTGGAGCCGGAACCATACCCTTTATGCATCTTAGACTTAGCTTTGAGAAATTTGGTTAGATGTCAGCCTCTCTTTCTTTTCGTTAGTGGACTAATAATTTCAACTTGTTAGGTTTGATGATGGTCAAAATTAATGCGCTATGTTTTTCAATAAAGATTAAGGATGTATTAGGGGTATTATAGTCTTTAGGTGAAAATCAAATGAGTTTCCTACGAGGCAAGCAAGAAACTTTAATGATTTTTATAAAAAGAGATCAATGTTGCACATAATATTTATCCTTTTAAGGGGCCATCCATTTAGGGTCAGAAGGAACAATAGGGTTCACAAGAGAGAGACGAGTACAGCATCATAGAGTGAGACGGTTTTTTTTATTGGACTTTGGTTGGTTCACTTTCTACATTGAAAGAAAAATTATTTGGTTCATCTCAAGGTTCTCTTTCGGGTGGCAGTGTATTAGTCAGGAAAATAGATTAGAAGGGGTCTTAACCACTGGCTAGGGGTCTTGGCAGTAGTATTGTCGAGCCTCATGGTGAGCTCTCTGATTCCATTCTCACTAAATGGTAGGGGCTCAAATCCCTACTGACTTACCACCTTTTTAAGAAAAGAGCTGGGGTTTAATTGGTTAGCGCTTGATGATTTCCAACACTATGTCCTAGGCTCAATTCCTACCAAAGATAGGGGCCCTCTCCCCACTGAATCACCCAAAAGAAAACTAGAGTAGAAAGGCGAAATCAAAAATGGTTTTGCCTATATCTAAAAAAAGGTTTTTTTCTTGTAACTCAAAACCGTAATCTTGTTTGATAGTACATTTCAATTTTTTTTAATCATTTAGATGAATCACGTAAATCCTTATAATATTATGGTATGTTTATGTTTTGCTTAATTTGTGGAACTCGATTTGTGATATCTAGATTTTATTTCATCAATTATATACACGATCTTGAGTAAAATCTCAATATTTAAAACTCCCAATTTCACAATCAGGGGCTTCGCATGGAACCTATATTCTACATTTGGTCCACGTGGTCATATATGTTGTAATGTCTCTCTCTCGCTCTATAACCTTGGATTCTACATTTGGTTCCATGCGAGCATATATGCTATGCCCTCTTTGGCCCCCCACATAACCAAAAGAAGATGAGCCACAATTTGTCCTCTCTAGAAATTATTGGCAAAATTTTTGCCTGCAAAATTTCTAAAATAGTGATATTTTTCATTTAGATTTTCTTTTGTGCATTCTTCATGTAAGACTACTATAAAGACTATGCGAGTTTGGTATGAAAATACATTCTAGACATTATTTTTTCACATGAAAAAACCCTATGTAATTAGTGGGATGCTTTTCACATTAATTAGTCCCCGTGTATCTTTTCACATAAAGAGACAGCCAGTTGATTTAAAACTACTCCTACACTTAATCACATGAGAAAGTTTTTTAATGTTGGTAAATCCAACATACTTATCGAAATAATATGATTGTTGACTCTTTGGCTAAAGAGGCGGTATCCGAATTTCCTTTCCTTTTGCTTTTTCAGCAATAGCGTGGCATTCTCGGCTCTCAGATTTCCTTTTGCTTTTTCTTTAATCTAAGGTTGTCAATGTTCCCTTTTCAAGAGTTGTAAAAGGTTTTTCCTTGTAACGTTTTTAATAAAACAGGTAGGGCCCAACATCCTCTCTGATTCACCCAAAAAAGCAAAAAAAAAAAAAATATTTCGTGAAAAGTGTTTTCAGGTGTACCAAACATACGTAGTGTTAGCTTCCAATTAGAGATGGTTTTGGATCCAAGGTCAATCATTTTTACCATGAACAAAAAAGGAATTTTGAATCTAAAAAACAACATAAGTCTTAATTTTTCTTCAAACTATTAAATCTAATTCTCCACTGACCATCAGATCTTCATTATTTTTCAAGCTACAAAATCAATACAAGTGTAGACCTAGGATGTTTGCTACATCATACATTTAAATCATGCAACTGGATACACCATTGTCTCGCAAAATCGTCCGATCTAACCACTAACCATCCGGTTAGATCAGAACCAGTCTGTGGCCGGTTCCCGTTTTGGGTAGTTAGGGTGATCAACTAGTATTTTAAAAAAACATTAAAAAAAATACAGATAAATTCTCAAAAATAAAGAATTTGATTTGTAATACATTTTTAAATTTGTGATAAAGATTAAAAATTATTTTGATCATTAATACTCGCTTTTATATTTTTCCATCTTTTTTTAAAAAAATTAAAAATAGCCCTTAGATAATATAAAATGAGTTAAAATCAATTTTTTTTCATTAATTTTCAACTTCATTTGAATGTGTTATGTTTTAATCATTTTCTACATGCTTTTCATATTTTAGTAGATCTTTTTTGTATTTTTTTTTCAATACTTTTTTGACCGCTCGGGACTTGCCCGATTAAATAAGTTGAATAGGCCGGTTTACTGGTTAAACCGCTTCCAAGCCCATGTCCGGTTAACCGTTCCTGTTCGATTTCACGGTTTTCACATAATAAACTTCACGGTTTTAGTATTCAGTGATTTTCAAAAGAAATCAGACTACGGATCCGATACCGCTCGATCCCTCTGGTATGAATGGTGTGATTTGTGAGTTTGATAGTCATACGGATACAATAAAAATAGCTAAAGAAAAATAAAAATGCTGGAAGAATCATTGCGATTTTAGGGATCAATTGAAGTGAATTCGAGTCACGTTCAAGTCATTTGGATTTGGATCTAGGTCTATAAATTAAAAAAATTCAAAAAAATTTATTTTATATTATGTAGCATATATTTTATACATTTTTTAAATATGTATTATATATATTTTTATGCTAGGATTGACCTAAATCTAACCTTATAGTGTCTATGCCAGACCCAAATTTGGACCTAGACCTGACCTCGGTCGAACCCAATTCATTTGGGTCTGGACCTGACCAGCCGCGTACCAGACCCAAGTCGAGCCGACACACAGTTCCACGTGTCATCCCGACCCAATTCCACCCATGAAGAGAGACATACACGTTCAAGATCAACCTTTGAGCCTTGAGAATTAATGGATAGAATACCAATCGGAAAGAAATAACAATAACATTCGCGGCCAGGGTTAGTCAAAGGCCCTTTTCTGACCCTTACCGTAAATGGCCACACTAATATTACAAAAAATGACACCAAGGGTAACCCCGTAATTTCAGCAAACAACAATCTTAAAAATACAGGCTAACAACGCATACACGTCATTCTCCTATCCTGCGATACACATGCCGGCCCTCCACCACCCCTAATCACAGATCACACCCATCCGTTCAAGAAACAAACGGTTCCACATAAAACAAGTACGAATAAACACTGGCTTATAAGGAAACAAACACATGGAAGAGCCAAAACAAAAGCAGTAAATACTGAGAATTAGAGAGAGAGAGAGAGAGAGAGAGGGGGGGAAATAAAGGAGAAGAGGGTGCATGTAACAGCGGGAGTATATAGAGAGAGAAAGAAGAGGGAGTAGAAGTAGAGAGAAAGCGAGGCAGAGCAGTGCTGCTTATTCCAATGTCGGTGAAGAAGAGCTCTTTCGCCGTCTCTCTAGGCTGCGGTTGCCGAAGTTCAAAGAGCGTCGCCGTGAAGAGGGCCCAACTAGCCGGAAAATCAAAACCACCCACCGGGAAAACCAGTTGCCCGGACAATTGCTCTCATTTTTCCGGCGATACCTCAGTTAGCTCCAATGATTTTCGGAGCGAGACAACGACCAGTTTCTCGGGTCTTCTCAAGGAGCTCGAGGAGCTTGAGCGTAGCGTTGCTGCTTGGCCGGGCAGTTTTCCGGAAGAGAAATGTGGTTCTCGGGCAAGTTTCAGGAGGGCGGAGGCGGTGGTTAGGGTTTCAGAGGATCCTGTGCGTGATTTCAAGAGATCGATGGTGGAGATGATGGTGGAGAAAGGGGTTCTTGGGATAGAGGGGATGAAAGAGGTGGTGGATGCCTTGATAAGTTTGAATGCTCCGGAGCAGCATTGTTCGATACTCCGGGCTTTTATGGAGATTTGGGAGAGTGGAATGAGTGAGGAGTGGTCATGTGGGGATCATAACTGCTTCTCCTAGAAGTGAGTCTCTCTCTCTCATCACCATTGCTCTTTTCTCTCTATTCAAACCACGCATACCAGTTGGTCTCTCTCTGCCCCCATTGTATCTATCGTATGTAATCGTTCTCCATGGTGATTATGGATGATAATTGTCGAACCAGCCCCATGGCGTCTTCTACAAGGTAAACATGGTAGCTGATGCTCTCGCATCTGCTGCGGCGATGCTACTGTTTGGGGTTGTCAACTATCCAATTTTAATTTATTTTTTATCTCATTATCTATCTGACGCAATTGCCCATTTATAAGATTATAAAATAAATATGTTACTCTTTTTTTTTTATTAGTGAGTAACCAAAGGAATCTTCAATTATTCATCGACCAACAAATAAGGAGCAACTCTCCTCATTTACAACTTGGCCTCTTTCTCGTCCCATGTAAAATTTGGATTATAGTTTTGTGATGTATGTGTATTTTGTATTTTGAATTCGATAATGATAGTTAATGCCCCGAATTAGAAAAGATGAAATTAATTCAGGACAATTGGAAGCAATAAAGGGCCAATTTTGGTCCAAATATATTTTGATTTTTCCATTCCAAATTTGGGTTTTCTTCTTTAGAGATTTAAGATGGAGCCCGAAATTTGGACTTATTTTGCTAGCGTTTTAGAAACCAAATTGGTGTGTTGAACCGCTCACCTACAGTTGGAGCTGAACTGCCCAAGCCACCTGAGGTCTTTTGTTTCGGCGTGCGGTTTGCATACGGATGCATCTGTAGGTACAGTGGTAAGATGCACCTACAAATTTCAAATTTTATCATGGTATATAATTTTGATGTCAAATTTTATCATGGTATATAATTTTGATGTGAAATGTTTTCAAGATTATCTCAAAATCTATTTTTATATCTAATTATAAAATTTTAAATTTAAAAAATGGTTAAAATGAAGTACATCTATAAACATATGAAAATCTTGACAATGGACGGTGTAGATAATATGTTGTAAAATGCAGTATTTCTAATACTTAAAATCTTTTTATTTTTCGTAGTCATACATCTCGATGTCGATATGATCAATCAAAAGGTTTTTCAACATTAAAACTTTTCCGATGGATTTTTTAACGGCATTTGTAGTTCTACATTGTAAGGTAGCATCCTTACATAAACTTTTTTCTTCTTTGTGTACAGGGAAGGTCAAAAATAATGGTTTAAAGCCAAGAGCTTTTCAAATTCCAATTGGAGTCATCGATCCGGATGGAATCGGTCCGGACTAATCTGATTTAGGATGGTATGGGTCCTAGCCCAATTTCTACCTAAACCACATCACAACTACACCAACTGAGCTCTCCTGAAAGAACAACCCCAACCCTTTTCTGTCCCCTTTTTTTAAGCTTTTCCGATGTTTTATTAAGTCCTCTCTAAATCATCTCCTTATAATCCCTAATTTTAAATATTTTTCAAAATCACCAATTCAAACCGAACTAGACCTGATCTAGATTTTTAATCCAACAATCAGACACAGATGTGTGGACGAACGATCCATCACACCGATCCGGGTTCTAAACAACTGGCGGGAACCAATGGATAGAGGGGAACTTTGATTTAGACCGATAACCCATAGGTTCTAAGCTAATCGGATGATTTGAGATTTCTAAAACAGTGGTGTGTTGGGCGTTACACACATACAACCCTTGGAAACCTTCAGGTCCTTTTCAATGTCAAATTTCAAATTGCATTCGAAGGAGCTGGGGTTGTGGTGGTAGCACCCCCACACCTTAGTCATCATGGTGTGATGTCCATTCTCACCACTAACACCACTTACTCAAAAAAAAAAAAATTCATATTTGCGTGCATGATATGTTGTTTCAAGTTTTATTTTAGATTAGGAAAACTTTTATATGAGGGTGCGGCTTTAAAGCATCAAATAAATGCACACCTCCAAAATTCATTAAAAGATTTTTGTTTCAATGCCAAAAAATCTTCAAATCGATCTTTTCAACCTTAAGATGTATGGACGTGAAAAAAAATGAATTTTAAATCTTAGAAATAGGGCATCTTGTAATGCATTTTTTGGACCGTCAGTTTTTAAAATTTTCGAATGTGTAGATCTGTTTGATCTACACTATTTTTGAAACTTTAAATTTTATAATTGGAAATGAAAATAAATTTTTAGGCCATCATAAAAATTTTCAACTAGAACATCTTTTGACATTATTTGAAGGCGCTTCTTGCTTTGATTGTTTAAGGCCTGAGCCTTAGACAAACCACACCCAAGGCCTGAGCCTTATACGAACCACACCGTTTATATTACGATAGACTAATAACTGTAGTGTAATTTGGTGAGTCATGTTTGCTATCTAGGGTTTCTGATTGTTTTGATTTAGATTGCAATTCATGAAAATTAGTGGTGGTGGCAATGGCAACAAGATTGTGGTGGTGGTAATAGTGGAGGTGTTGATGGATAAAAAGAAGAAAAGACGAATTAACAAAGAGCTTTTTTTTCAACTAAGAGCCCCAATTGTAATATAGACTTAATCGCCCTTGGGCCCGAAATTACAATCAATAAAAAAAGCCCTTAATTGGTATACCGCCAAATTGCATTACTATCACAATTGTCCAAAATCGAAACGCAAGTTTAATGCTTTGATAAGGATTGGTGTTGCTCAAATGTCCGTGAATATATAAAACAATAATCATTGATGGAGACTTGCAACAAATCATGTCCATAAATGAAATAAAAATTTATGTCAAAACCAGTTTAAGAAAAATCGAATCGGAATTGTTAGTCGGACATGAGCCAGAAGCGGTTACTAAGTACTAACCAATAAACTGGCCGGTCCAACTGACCTAACCGGGCAGTCAAAAAAGGGTGAAAAAAAATACAAACATAAAATCTAATAAAATGTGAAAAGTATATTTAAAGCATGACTAAATAAAGCACATCAAAATGAGCTGAACATTAGTAAAAAAAATGGATTTTAAAAAATCTATTCGTACACAAAGGTATTTTTAAAATTTTCTAAAAAAGATACAAAAATGTAAAACTAAATTTTAATGGCCAAAATAATTTCCAATCTTTGCGAAAATGATAAACATTAACAAAATGAATTACAAACAATAACCTTTTATTTTTTGAGATTTTAAATAATCTTTTTTGAATTTTTTTTAAATACCCAGCCAGTTCACAAAACCTAGTCGAAACCGGAAACCAGGCGGTTAGAATTTAAACCGGCCAACTTTTCCTATACTGGAAGAAACTCACTGGTATTTTGGAACTGATAATTAACCCAATAATAAAGTGAAACCATTTTGTTATGTTTATCGACAAGGGTGGCAACAGGCTAACATTGGCCCTGGCCAGACCCTTATCCCCATAGTTAGGGCTGCCAACGGGCCATCCCGGAAGCCCGGTAAGGCTCAAGAAATGCTCAGGCCCAGCCCGAAAATATACACGAAAAGCCTGCCCTGTCTGACCATGAAATTCGTTGTTCATGCCTGGACCGCCCGAAGCCCATTAAGGACTTTTGTCGGGCTTTGGCTGGGCCTGACCCGGCCCGGCCAATTAAGAAGCATATTATTATTATTATTATTATTATTATTACTAATAATGATATCTCACTCTTCAAGTTTTTCTTATTTGTAGTAAGCCCCAAAAAAAAAAAAAAAATAATGCTAAAATATATTTTAGAAACTTTTTGTGGGTTTTTAGACAGAGGTTTCTAGAGGGAGAATGAGTTTTAGAGAGAAAAAGAGAGATTGGGTGGGTTTCTAGAGAGAGAAAATGGGTTTTTAGAGGTAGAAATAGAGATTGTGTTTTAGAGAAAGAAAGATATTCGATTTTTAGAGAGACATTGGGTTTTTAAGGAGAAAATGAGATATTGGATTTTTATATGTAGAGAGAGATATTGGGTTTTAGAGATAGATTGGGTTTTTAGAGAGAAATTGATATGAGTAATGATCGAATGCAACAGTTGTATCATAGTATAATGTAATGGCACTTCTAGAAAACCATGTTTGTAGTATTTATATGACCCCAACTTTTGCACACACACTCTCTTCATCTCAATAATCAATCCTCAAAAAATAAAAGTTCAATTTGAACTCTAGATATGGTCAAAATGAGCCCCTCCAAAAACAAATCTTGACCATTTATTTTATGAATTTCAATATCTTTGCATTTATGAACTCAAAATCATTTTTTCTTCTTTAACATTATTCATCTAATGATAATAAAGCCATCCAAACATTTGGAAATCGAAAAAATGCTTCTAAGGCTTGGATCTAAGCATGTCACCAAAATGAACGGCCTATGTTAATTGGGCTAAAAAAATACTTTCTAAGTTGTGTTTCCAAGTTTCTCTTTTTTTGTGATTATTTATTAGAATAAAAAGAATGTATATTTTAAAATTTGGATCAAACAAATGGGCATAAGATAGTTTTTTAAAATTGTTGCATCATATTACTATACAACGATTGCATGAAATCATTACCCGATAGATATTGGTTTTCTGGAGAGAGAGAGAGAGAGAAATATTGGGTTTTTACAGATATAGAATTCGTTTTAGAGAGAGAGATTGGATTTCTAAAGAAAAAATGGGTTTTTAGAGAGATAAGAGACATTGGGTTTCAAGAGAGAGACAAAGATAAATTTGGTTTCTAGAGAGAGAATGAGTTTAATTTTTTCAAAAAATATTTTAGCAAGTATCTATTTTATTTATTTTTTTGCCTACTACTAAAAAAAAAAAAGAAATGCTTGAAGAGTGAAGATTAAAAAAAAAAGAGAGACATTCTAACTGGCCCTGGCCTTATTGGGCCGGCCCGAGATGCATACGGGCTTATGACTCAAGTTGGCCCGTTGGGCAAAGTACTCAGGCTTTTTCCGGGCTGGCCTGATAAGAAGTGATTCTATGGTGGCCCGGACCGGTTCATTAACAACCCTACCCAAAGTACTGGGCTGGGATAAGTTGGGCCAAAAAATAAACGAAGAAAAATAAAGAAAATTAACAAAAAAAAAAAAAAAAGTGCTGGCCACTGCTAAAACGTACTGGCATGAGTTTAGGACAAGCTTTCTTTGCTTCCCCTATAACATAAAATTTATATACTTCCCCTTATCCAACTGTCCATTCTGAATTGAGGGCTAAGATTGTCCCAATCACAATGTCACGTCTCTCCACTATTTTATTTTTAATTTTTTTCTATAAATTATTTTGACACTAAATTTTGTATATCTAATCCTCTATTAAACTCGCACTAACGAAAAATATAAAAACAATATTTCCAATAAAATAAAATGA